ATTATTTTGTTACCTTTGTCAATGACTTCTCTCGAAGAGTATGGGTGTATACTATGAAGGCGAAAAGTGAAGTATTGAGAATTTTCATCAAGTGAAAAAAGATGGTGGAAACTCAAACAGAAAGAAAGATTAAACGCCTTCAAACAGACAACGGAGGAGAATACACTAGTGATCCGTTCATGGAGGTCTGTGAAAATGAAGGCATTGTTTAGCACTTCACAATCAGAGATACACCACAGCAGAACGGGGTGGCAGAGCGTATGAACTGGACATTGATAGAGAAAGTTCGGTGTATGTTGTCCAATGCTAGGTTGGGCAGACAATTTTGGGCTGAGGCTTTAGCATATGCAAATCACCTCGTTAATCGCTTACCATCAACTGCTATTGGTGGCAAAACGCCATTAGAGAAATGGTCAGGAAAACTTGTTACAGATTATGATTCCTTGCATGTGTTTGGTTCTACTGCATATTATCATGTTAAAGAATCAAAATTGGATCCAAGGGCGAAGAAGGCACTCTTTATGGGGATCACGACATGTATTAAAGGTTATCGCCTTTGGTGTCCCGAGACGAAGAAGATAGTTTTCAACAGGGATATCACCTTTGATGAATCTACCATGTTAACAAAGGTAGATGTACAGCAGAATGATGGTACTCCCCAACAGGTGGAGAGCACTCCTAAGCAGGTGGAGTTTGAAAGAACTATAGTTCCAGTAAATGAAGAAAATGTTGATTCTTCCATGACAGAGGGAGAATCTAATGAAGAGGAGGTTCAGACTGAAGAACTTCCACAGCAATATGAATCAATTGCAACCAGTAGGCCAAAGAGAACAATCGGAAAACCTGCTCGTTTTGTTGATATGGTGGCTAATGCATCTGCAATTGCAATAGATGAAGTTCCTACCACTTATCTTGAAGCTGTCCAAAGTTTAGAGAAAGGAAAATGGAGGACAGCCATGGAAGAAGAAATGCAGTCCCTTTATAAGAATCAGACTTGGCAGCTTGTCAATTTGTCAAAGAAAAAGAAGGCAATTGGGTGCAAGTGGGTATATGCAAAAAAGGAAGGTTTTCCTGACAAATCCGGTGTTCGTTACAAAGCAAAATTGGTGGCTAAAGGCTACGCTCAGAAGGAGGGAATTGATTACAACGAAGTGTTTTCTCCAGTCGTGAAATATTCCTCCATTAGAATTTTATTGGTTTTGATAACACAATTGGATCTGGAACTTGTTCAATTAGATGTAAAAACTGCATTTTTACATGGTGACTTGGAAGACTCAGCCAGAAGGATTCAAAGTTGCTGGTAAAGAAAAGATGGTGTGCAAGCTTCAAATCGTTGTATGGATTGAAACAGTCTCCAAGCAAGTGGTACAAGCGATTTGACAAGTTTATGATGGGACAACGGTACACAAGAAACAAATATGATGACTGTGTATATTTGCGCAAGTTACGAGATAGATCCTACATATATCTTCTTCTTTATGTTGATGATATACTGATAGCTTCCAAAGATCAAAATGAGATTGAAAAATTAAAATCTCATTTGAATCGAGAGTTTAAAATGAAGGATCTCGGTGAAACCAAGAAGATTCTCGGTATGAAGATAAGCAGAAATAGAAGATTGGGGAGGCTTTATTTGACTCAGAAAGAGTATCTTAGTAAAGTATTAAAGAGGTTTGGCATGAATGAAAATACCAAACCTGTTAGTACTCAACTTGCTCCTCATTTCAAACTCAGTGCATCGTTATCTCCAAAGAATAATGCAGAACGAGAATATATGGCAAAGGTACCATATGCAAATGCTGTGGGTAGTTTGATGTATGCTATGGTGTGTACAAAATCCGACATTTCACAAGCAATTGGAGTTATGAGTAGGTACATGCATGATCCTGGCAAGGAGCATTGGCAGGCTGTGAAATGGATTTTAAGGTACATTTTGAACACCGTAGATGTTGGATTAGTATTTGAGCGGGATGAGAAGATTGGTCAAGGCGCAGTTGGATATTATGATTCCGACTACGCAGGTGATCAAGATACACGTCGATCAACGACTGGGTATGTGTTCACACTTGCTAAGGCGCCAGTCAGTTGGAGGTCTACCTTACAGTCAACGGTTGCTTTGTCTACCACAGAAGCGGAGTACATGGCAGTTACAGATGCTGTTAAGGAAGCAATTTGGCTTCATGGGTTGCTTGATGAATTGGAAATCGGACAGAAGTCTATCAAAATTCATTGTGATAGTCAGAGTGCTATTCATTTAGCAAAGAACCAGGTTTATCATGCAAGGACGAAGCATATCGACGTATGGTATCATTTTGTGAGGAAGATTTTGGAAGATAGTACGATACTACTTCAAAAGATTCAAACCAAGGAGAATCCTGCTGATATGCTTACGAAGGTTGTGACAACTATCAAATTCCAACATTGTTTGAATTTGATAAATGTTGTGCACAACTTGAAGTTGGCGCTTGACGGCGCATTTGAAGACACCACCGAATATTGGGAGAATAGTGAAGCATTGAAGATGTAGAGATTTCGCCAAGGTGGAGATTTGTTGACTTATTGGCTCAATAGCCACAATTGTTGATTGTGCAAAGTTATAATTGTTGACAATTGTGGCTTTATTCCAAATCCCACATCGGTTAATTAGCCTTGAGGAGAAGTTGTTGTTAGCTATAAATTAACAACCTCTCTTCTCAATTGAAATACACTAAGCAAGAGCTAATAACTTGCTTCCTTCTTTCTCTTTGTAATATTTCTTCTAGTGAAATATTAAATTGTCGGTAGTGTCCGAGAACGTAGGCAAATTAGTCGAACCTCGTTAAATTCTGGTGTTCTATTTTATTGTCTATTTAGTAGCTATATTTGTAGGTATATTTGTAGTGAGTTATTGTGCAATTAATTGCATATATAGGTCATTCTGTCTAGGAAATTGGTACTTAAGTAGGCCAGTGTGCCTCACCAAATATTTCCTGGGAATTGCCATTTTGCAATTTTAGGTACAATAATTTACTCGTTATATCTTAATTTGGTAGAGCTTCCGCAACAGTTTTCACTTCTGATCCCTCCAAGGAAGAAACTGAAGGAATTGCTTATCAGTGGAATCAAAAGGTGGAAAATGAACGTATGTGTTGTATTTGTAGGGCTATTGTTCATTGGTTTGTATTTCAATTTATGCATCAGCAATTTACTAATTCGTAATGGTTTCAGCCGGAGATCTGGGAGTGGTGCCTGGTTCATGCCCAAACAGGAAGGAATCAAAGCCACTCAACTCGAACAGTTCATCCCTTTTTCTGCAAAATTACTTCCCCACAATTCCAGACCAAGATCAGGCTTGTAAAGAGAATTCGATTCCCCTGATTGACGTGGTTAACACCTGTTACAAAGAAGCAGGCAACATCATGCTAAATTTTTTGGCCGTCAATTTTTACTTGGTATGTAAATTTTATTTCAACGAATTTTCTTGATCCTGATGGAGAACAAAGAATTGGGACTGGAGCTTTTGCAGCGTAGTGATGGAGGAAGTGTATTTGATGCTGTGGACAGGATGAATGGCCAAACATTATGTGGATGCACTACTGTAATTGCCTGTCATGTTTGTCAATATATTTTCTGCAGAAGGTCTTGACTTTGCAACGATAAAAGTAAAATTTTCAACGAAAACACAACTACACTCATTTAGGACTCTGATTTGATTATCAGACTGCAATATCAACTGTATTGATTATTGGGCCGTGAAACATATTAGGAGATTTATACTATCTCATGTAAAACACTTCACAGAGCAGATAGTTGACACATATTAATTCAAAATGATTTTGCCAGAGTTTAAAACCATGGTTTTGATTTGTTTCAGCATCTTTTATTGTTGAGAGAGGAAAATTACAACAAGGGATTATCTATTTTCCTGTTCAATTGGCTGCTAATATAGCCTCTGCTATTGCACTTGCTCTAAAACTCTTTAACTCAAAGATCTAAAAGATCAAAACCTTGCAGGCAGGGGCATCTTATGGAAGTTGCAAGAGTATTCCTATATCTAATACAACTCTAGCTACTATCAGTCCTGCTGCAAGCTTGGTTCGCCATATCGGCCGATACCGATACGTATTAGCCGAATCGTAATTGGAACGAATAGGATCGACATGATACCGATCCTCGAATTGCTGATATTACCATATCCGCGACGACTCGCTCTGAATCGGCCGATATTAGCCGATTCGAATCCGTGATGTATGATATCGGCTGATATATTCGAGTCAACTCGGATATTTTTTAAATTGTGTATTTTTTGATATTTTCTAATTTTAGTAATTTTTTCAAAATTTTGGGAATATTTCATGTGCTATAATGTGCGTATCACCTGATATTCAACCGATATGTCGCGATGGATGTGGAGCAACCGAGCGACCCGTGATGGCAAACCATGGCTGCAAGCTTCCTCAGGCCTGCGCAGTCAACAGGAACTGCTGCAACTATCCAGTTTTCCAGTGTTATGGCAACGTTCTTGTATGCCATGGCCATCATGTTTCAAGAGAATATTTGCAAGAACTGAGAAGTCACCTAACAAGGACTTGAACAGAACTGCTCAGAGGAACCCAAAGAATATTTACAAGTATTTTTTCTACTTAATTTGTTTAAATGCTTCAATTAATAGAATAATAGTAATAAACAGATGAGTTTCCATTCTCTGTTTGACTCTGCTTGATAAGATAATTTTGAATAGAATAAAAACGATCATGAATTCATGTGTTCTATTATCAAGTTGCTGAACTGTTCAATGTTTAACGGTTTCCAATTGTTGAATGAAAATCGAGTGATTCATCAACAAGGCCTGTACAAGTCCAGCCCCCAAAATGAGATGAACAAGTCCAGCCCCCAAAATGCATCAAGTTTCCCCAAAGAGAAGCGTAAATCAGTATTGGACCAAAAAATCTATGCATCATATTGCATATAAAGCTCAATTACACAGTGTTTTGTTGAGTTATCAATAGCTATTATTGTACTCAAGGATCTAGAACTTCCCTTTTGCAAGCACAATCTGCACGGAGACAATAGCTGCACTCTGTGCATTGAAAAGCCTCTTCCCCATCATCAAAATTATTATCACAGCCATGGCAGATTGCATCGTCATATGCCTCGGGAATATGGGTGAGAGGGTGAGAGTGCTCATCTACATACATGGCACGCCCAAACTTGGTATTTTGATGAATCTGGGGAATGCACCAAGGATGAAACGATTGGTCACATTCATGACAGTGGTACATCCATTCATTGGGATTCATTTGGAGGTCACAGATCACACAGCAAAATTCATCTGGATGTTCAACAAAAGGAGGATAAGATAACACGAGCATATGCTCGTCCCATTTCTGTTTGGTTGTAGGTGGCATCAGGGCACACTCGTAGTCCAAATAAAAATGGCAATCTTCACAACCAAATCCAAAACTACCTCTGTCAACGCCACAGGCATTGCACGTTATCCGATTTGTGTTTTCAACCTGAGTTAAGAGATGCTTATGAGAATTGTGCAAAACAGCTGATGTCAAGCTCGCACTCACGCACTTGATACAAATGTAGAATTTACAGGATTTGCATTCATAGTAGAGACAACTTCCCTCCTTTAGACAGGCATGACACCTAAAGTTGCCAGCAACAGCCAATACTGTCATCGGTGTAAGCAAATGCTCGGGATGTTTTGGGGTTTGTAGTTCATCAGGGAATTGATAACAAGTCTTATGGAGAAAGTAATCGCCCTCGGCGCAAGCATAGTGAGGATCAGACAAGAGAATAGGCTCAATACACCAGTCACAAATTGATAGTATTGCTTCTTCTTGATCAGCAGTAGCACTATTAATCTCATGCTTGGTTAGCATCATCTTGGATGGAACAAGTGGGTGATTGTGCGTAGATACTACTATCTTTTCTTCGGTATTAATTTTTCTGAGACTACTAGTAATGCTGCAGTGAAGAAGAGAAAGTTTGATCAAGTTTTGGGCTGCACCATTGGAGGGCAGTTTGACCAAATTTCTGCCTGGATCTCCCAAATCTGATTGTCCTTCTCCAGCAAGGACAGTGCTATAGTGCCTATAGTTATGGTAACGATGTTAGGAAAACCTGCTATTACAGGTTTCTATTACCTTTAGTGACAAATCGAATTTTTTAGCGACTTTTTAAATATTATATTAAAATAATTAATATTAACTTTAGTAAGTTTTTAATTAAAAATAGTAAGTATATGTCTAAAAGATAAGTTTTACTCAGAAATACAAATTTACACTTTGAGTAATTTAATTTACTTATTATTTGACAAAATTTACTTTAGTTTAAATTAAACTTACTAATACTAAAAGTAAAAAATTTTCATATTTTAGTAAAACACCACCGATTTCTAAAACGGTTTTGCCCCACCAAAGTTGGTTGCCTCTCCAAACGGTTTCGCACCTCAGGACACGATGGAATAGAAATTTTTTCCTTGCAAAATTTTTCAGTTCACACTTTCCATCTCTACTTCTTGATCGATCGGGCATATGCAGACCCAACAAAAAGGTTGAGAATTTTATTAAGGCTGGGTGGTGGTATCAAGCAAGAGAGCGGATAAAAAATATCAGCCGAAAGGTTAGACTATCATGTTGCTTGAAAATCACTTCATTATATTGCTTTAATTTGTTTATCTTTCATTTGATTTGATTGTCAACTTGAAAAATGTATGGGAAATGACTTAGACCCTGTATGTGAAACATAGTAGGGTGTCGGCATTTATGGCAAAAGCAGTTAATTCTGGAATGTGATTAATTTGGGAATGCATATAAGATGTTTGGTGAAATGTCAAAGAGAAATTTGGGCTAGCTATCAAATGTCCGTTTGCAAAAGAATCAAGAAGTCCAAGTTTTTTTTGTTTTAAGGCCTTAATTAGACAGCATGTATTGTTTCTAGTTAATTTCCAAGCGTCACCTACAACCTTCATACCCCCATTCAGCTTTGAGGATCATTTTTGTAATTTTACTGCAGATTTTAGCACGAAAACATGGCAAGAAAGCAGAGAAAACTAACTATGAAAAGACCTTACCTATATATATATGTATAAGCATCCTTTAACACTTGTCGTGATGAAGTTTCTTGGACTTGCACGTAACTAAATTGATGTAACATGACAGCCCATGAATTGTTCGAATATATATACATATATATGATGTATATAAACATCAAACTCTTGCATGTAGATTATAATTGCTTAAGAAAGAAAATTAATTTCTTGGGTTCAAAAAAAAATTTGTGACAACTCAGTAATTTCTAGGATCAGTAAATGGTACTGATCAATTTTTTTTTTTTTAAATCTAGCTAGACTATGATCGCAAAATCTTTTGACTCAACCGTCGGTAGATTCTCTACAGAGGCATCTTGCTTAGAGCTTTACAGAGGTTTAAAAGTAAGTTCTTTTCTGAAAATAGTAAATGGGCACTTCCAACCAAATTACAGAGACTCTAGAAAGCACAAATTTCAGGAAAGTAATAGGTTGTCAGCACAAATGCAGCGTTCTAGGCACTGAATGATCTGTCATCATGTAAAGAGCTGAATAACTCAAGTGAGAAAAAAAAAAAGCAAAAGAAACAAAACCAAAATTGGATTAAATTTGGTTTTAGTCCTGCCTTAGATAGGTACCATTCAGAAGTTCACGCACAAAGTGTCCCTGGATGAGAGTCAAATGATGAGATTATACCAGAGAACAGATGTTACTTGTATTTACCAGAAACACGATAAATTAGGAAAATGATATAAAATAAAAGAAATAAACATGTTATGTGTATCCATATAGACAAACAGTAACAAATTTTGCACTGCAAAGTTTTCAGAGGATCCAAGTAGTCAATCCACATCCTCTTACCAGTAAGTTCAGCTTGCCGTCGAAGGTGGAAGAGACGTTCTTTATTAGTTCCTCTCTTTATGGTCTTGAAGCCTTATCGCAAGTTGAACCACAGACTTTGAAACCCTGTGCTCCCCATTCTTGCAGCCTTTCATTAAGTTCCTTTTGGTTTCTTGAACATGTGTATATTGTGGCTCCAAATCCTGCTAATTCTTGAACATTTTTATGATAATTATTGTGTAGCGTTATACTGAGTGATCTCACCTTTAAAGCACAATGATTTTGATGCCAGATTTCAATTTTACTGTTACAAGTAGCGTCTCCTGTTCTGCTCTATGATTTTGAGTGAACTAATTTGTCGTCTCCAATCATCCATTGCACTTATTGCAAATCATTAGTCACTGTCTAATTAGCAAAATTTTGGTTGTCAAATCGGTTTTTAAGAGCCAGGGGGCGCACATTAATTGGATCAATATGGAGATTTCTCGGCAGCAAGTTTTCACCACATGTTAGTATAGATTTTTCTATGTAGACTGTATGCCAGAGAGTGATTGTTTTAGTTTGAACTTTCCTCCTCTTGGTGAAATCCTTAGAATCTGTAGTTCGTTTGGCTACAATTACATGACTGGTCGATACACCAGCCCCTTTTTTTTTATGTATCCTATCAGACAACAAGGATTCTCCCTCCAATATAGAGTTGAATTTGTGAGCCAGCTTAATCTGCATCTGCTAACCCACGATTTTGTGCCTCATTCCAGGTGTGGATTTTAAGATCAAGCCGCTCACTGTTGGTGGGAAGAAGTTGAAGCTTACAATTTGGGATACCGGTAAGCAGATCCTATCATTTATAGTTTTGCTAACTGTTTATGGCAGCTTTCCGAATTCTCTTTATGAAGTTCTTTTGTGCAAATATGATGATACACCTTTACTTTTAGTTGTTTTTTTTTCCTATCATAGGCTCAAGTGGTAAATCTCTTTGGACATAGAACTAGCTGTAATTTCACAAAATACAGCAGGACATTTTGCGCTTTACCTAGTACAAGTCAAATGTTTGTACTTTCTCTACTGTTCTCAACATGCCGTGCCATCCTAATTAACATTTTCCCCAGAAGTTGTTATTATATGTAAATCTTCTTATCTGTCAGAAGGTTTTGTCTTGCCATCGCAGCTGATCATGCAACTTCTTCCTCCTTAAGATTAGAAACTGACAATCAGTCCTACTTCACCATGATCAGACCCAATTTGGGTTTGTATTCCTCTTTTTCCTAGTGCTGCTAATGTAAATTTATTGTTGGGATCCTTGATTCATGACTTAAAATAAGCTTAGCCTCCTTTTTCATAAATAATCCAAGCTACTACTTTCTGATGATAGTACGCCCCTCTGGCTATTTATTTCCACTGTCCTATTACTGCATATTTTGTTCTCCGTGATCTGATGGGGCTCATGACACCTTTTGCAGCTGGACAAGAGAGGTTCAGGACCTTGACAAGCTCATACTACAGAGGTGCTCAAGGGATCGTTCTTGGTATGTCATGGATAGATCACTATAGATTCTTTCATATTTATGAAGCCTTTTTGTCATCCTGCAAAATAAGTTATTCTTTTAAGACGTGATTGATAAGATGAGATTTTGTTTATTTAATTGCATTATCATCGTTCTCGGATTTCTGGTCAATTTATGGACTACTGTTGCTTAGAAAAACAGAATACACATAATCATGCTTTTAACTTTTGAGCATTGGCCATTTTTTAACATTGCTGAACTCTATGCAAAATTTGCTGTTTCTCTTGACGGAGAATTTATTTGATCATTTTCCCTTTGCAACATGGTTGGTAAGGTTCCTTTATGCATGTTTCTTTGTTTGCTTTAAGAACAGACTGCTGCCATCCCAATTCACAGTCTAGAGTTTTTCCATTTTGTGGGAGACTCTTCCCAGTTGAGTAATATGAAGTTGTCCATAGTAGGCATTGTCTATGCAGTCAGTTGGTATTCTGCCCACAATATTGTACGGTACTGTGAAATTATTGGGAACAGGAAAGGTTAAAAATGAGGTAAGCATCTAAGCAGTTTGAAAAGACAGGCAGTCCAGAAGAAACCATGTTTACTGAAAGTAGTTAGTAAATAGATCTTCAATAGCGTAGAGATATGCACAACGTCAATGCTAAATTGACATAGAAGTAACACATTCAATATCTGAAAAAGTAACCATAAAAAGAAGAAAACAACAGAAGATTAATGGTATGTACCTTTGAGTAACTAGTTGGCATCAGTCCTAAAACAGTCAAAACATTCCTCAATGCCTTCTCCAGAGCTGCAAGGGACTCTAGTCTTAGTTCTTGTTTCTTTCCCTGAACAAAGAAAACAAAAGGCATCTCATAGATGAGACAAAACGAAGAGAAAACAGTTATCAGAAAATGTATCTCAAAGTAAAATTAATGACAGTTAATGAGTAAAGCATAAATTCCAGATTTGGGATGGACAATCTAGTAAGAAGAGAATGACGTGTAGATTGGGCATGACAGAGGTATTTGAAATATTTGTGCATGTTTATTAGCGGGAAACTTAACTAGCTTTGTGCAGTTTTTACTGAGTGAACAAAGACCAAGCAAATTAAAGAGGGTAGGCAAGGTTATAATTTTCCAAAGTTGATTTACATTTTGAATTGGACAGAATGCAGACCAAAAAGCCTCTGATAAGTTACAAAAACCTTGATAAGTTACCGCATTTATTAGTGAATATTCAAGTTTATAAAAAAAAAAAGTAGTTCAGTGACTTAAAATGACCAGCCTTCAGATACTTGAAACATTGTTTCAAAGCACAGTCATCTACAAATCCATCCATCACTCAAGTGCTTGGGAAACAACAAATCAGATTTTGCTTACTTGTGGATGGTAAGCATGCTTAATATACGAATATAAACATCAAAAGTGAAAATAATGTCTTATTGTATTAATTCTGTAAGCATCCTGAGTTATAGTGAGTTATAGTACTTAGAGAATCCAGTATGTCTGTG